CTTTGACTGCACCCACCCTGTAGAAGACCATGGATGCTGCCAATTTCAAGTAGTTCCTCCAGGAGAGAATCAAAGTGAATGGGAAGGCTGGGAACCTTGGTGGAGGGGTTGTCACCATCAAAAGGAGCAACAGCAAGATCGTCATCACTTCTGAGGTGCCTTTTTCCAAAAGGTATTTGAAATATCTCACCAAAAAATATTTGAAGACGAATAATCTATGGGATTGGTTACGAGCCTAGCTGACAGCAAAGAGAGCTTTGAATTACATTACTGCCAGATTAACCAGGATGAAGAGGAGGATAAGGATTAAAATGCATTGATCTGGAATATTTTGCATGAATTCATGAATAAAATTTAGGAACAAAAAAAAAATTTAAAAATGTGGCTGGAGAAATGGCTCAGCAGTTAAGGGCACTGACTGCTCTTGCAGAGGACCAGGTTCGAGTCCCAGCACCCACATGGTGGCTGACAACTGTCTATAACTCCAGTTCCAGTGGAATTTGACACTCTTCTGACTGCCTCGGGCATTGCACAACAGGGGTACACTTACACACATACAGACAATATACTCATACACATAAGAATAAAAATAATAAAATTTTAAAAATTAAATAATATGGGCTGGTGAGATGGCTCAGCAGTTAAGAGCACTGTCTGCTCTTGCAGAAGATCCAGGTTTGGTTCCCAGCATGCACATGGTGGCTAACAACTGTCCCTAACTCTTCCAGGGAACCCAATGCCGTCTTCTGACCTCCCCAGACACTGCATGACACAGGTGCACATGTAGGCAATACACTCACACACATAAAATAAATACAATAAATAAAATATTTTTTAAGTTATGTATGACAGCCAGGCGTGGTGGTGCACACCTTTAGTCCCAGCACTCAAGAGGCAGAGGCAGGTGGATCTCTGTGAGTTTGAGGCCAGCCTGGTCTACATAGTGAGTTCCAGGCCAGCTTGGATTACAGGAAGACCCTGTCTCAAAAAGACCAAAAACAAACAGAAAAAAAACCCAAAAACATATGTATGAATTGCTTCATTTCAAATAATAGAATCTGCACAGCTCACACACAAGTGTGGCCCCAGAACACATATACACAAAAGAGAACCAGACACCCTTCCAAAAAGAGATAGAAGCAAAGGTAATACCAGAAATTAGCCTCAGTCTGCTCTCAAGACCTATAACAATATTAGATCATACCAGTGAAGGAAAGCAATTCTTTCTAGCTATTGTCCCCTAAAGCTGAGGAAACTATTCCTTACAGAAAGTTTTGAGAATGTAATCTGCAGCATTCAGGAGGCAGAGGCAGGGTGATCATCATGAGTTTGAGATTAGCCTGAGCTATACAGTGAGTTCCAAGACAGCCTAGGCTAGAGGGAGACAGCATCCCCAAATTTTAAGGGCTGAGGATGTAGCTCAATTGGTAGAGTACTTGCCTAGCTAGCATACACAAAGACCTGGGTTCAATTCCAGCACCACCTAGATCAGGAGATGCCTCGCACCTATAATCCAAGCACTCTTGAGGTCATCCTCAACTACTCAGTAAGTTCAAGGCCAGTCTGGGCTACATGAAACCCTGTTCTTCACCCCCTCTGCCAAAAAAAAAAAAAAAAAAAAAAAGAGAGAGAGAGAAAAAGAACCTGTTAATATCTTGCTTAAACTTCTATGATTGCTAAAGCTTGTAATCCTGGCATGCAGGAGTCTAAAACAGGAAAGTTTTCAGAAGTTCAAGGCAAGCCTAGGCTACATAGTGACTTCCAAGACACCTGAGCTGCAGTATGAGACCTAGTCTCAAAAAAAAGGGAAAAAAAGATAGCCAGGTGTGGTGGTGTGCACCACCTTTAATTCAAGCACCTAGGAGAGGCAGGCAATTCTCTGTAAATTCAAGACCAGTCTGGTCTACTAGTGAGTTCCAAGCCAGCCAGGGTTGTACAGTGAGACCGTGCCAAAAGGGGGGAAAATATATATATATTTTTTCCTTGCTTAGTAAACTCAAGGGTTTGTTGCCCAGCAAAAAAAGAAATCTCTTAAGAAATCCAAAAAATCAAATACAGTTTGAAAAAAAAAAAAAGGTAAGCCAGGCATGGTGGTGCATGCCTTTAATCCCAGCACTCAGGAGGCAGTGGCAGGCAGATCTGTTGAGTTCCAGGCCAGCCTGGTCTACATGGCAAGTTCCAGATCACCTGGGGCTATAGGGAGACCCTGTCTCAAAAAGACCCAAAAAAAGGAAAGTAGCCTACAAACTAAATTTTTTATTACACTTACATTTATTGGGGAAGGTAGATGTGACATATGAGAAAGTCAGAAGCAACTTGTGGGAATCAGTTCTCTCCTTCCAAATTAAACCAGCCCACCAAACTAAATTTTTATCAAGAAGCTAATTTTCTGGCTGGAGAGGTGGCTTAGCAGTTAAAAGCACTTGCTGCTTACAGAGGACCTGATTTGGGTCTCAGCACCCACATTGCAACTCACAACCATCTAACTTCAGTTCCAAGGGATCAACACTATCTCCTGACCTCTACAGCACCAGACACACACATTTTAAAAATTCATACATGAAGGCAAAACACTCATACACTACACATAAAATAAAAATGAGAAGCTATTTTTTCAGTAAGTTCAGCTTACTTCGTGTGAGAGAGAAAGAGAGTGCGAGCGCACACCCAGGTTGGCCTCAAACATGGGTGATCCTCCTGGCCCAGTCTCCCAAGTACTGCAATTCCAGGTGTGAGCCACCACCCCAGGCTTACTTCTTGAACAAAACAAAACAGTAAGTCTTCCTTCCTGATTCCTGCCCAGATCAAGCAGACTGCTCCTAAGGATTCCTGAACAGGATGGTGAGAAGGGCAGCAGCCAGAGGAAGCCTGTAGCAACATAAAGCCTCCTCAGACTTTCTCCTTGTCAACTCAATTTAGGAATTTCTTGTACTTGAGAATTTCAAATGTGCAAGAGACAAGCTCTTCTTGGTTTCCCAGAATCCAATTAAATGTGAAAAAATAAGTGCTTCAAAAACTGGTATTCACCTTCAGAATCACTGGACGTTTAGATTAAATGCCAAAAACAATGAAAAGGGTTCCCCAAGAGGAATGTCATAAATGAGAGAATTACAAGTGTATTAGTCACTTTTCTGTTGCTGTGATAGAAACACCATGACCAAGGGAACTTATAAAAAAAGAGTTTATTTGAGCTTATGGTGGAGAGGCATGGTGGCAGGTGTCTGGAACTGAAAGAGGAGCACTCACATCTTTAAGCAGGCACAGGAAGCAAAGAGTGACTGGAGATCTGTCAAGGCTTAAGATTAACTCTCTGAGCCCACCACCAGTGATCCACTTCCTCCAGCATGGTGGCATCTTCTAAGATCTTCTAAAACAACGCCAACTGGGGACAAATGTCCAAATACTTGGAACCTATGGGGGACATTCTAATTCAAACCACAAGGATGCCAGTCATGACTTAAAGAATAAGGTCAATTCTTGACTATCAAGAATTAATTTCTTTTCAGAAAAAAAAACCATAAACACAAGTAAATTAAATTGGCTGAATCACTAAAACCAAGCACAATTCATCTAAGAACCTGGAAAAAAATAGAAGTTCTAGAAAAAAGTAAAAGTTCCTCTAAAAAATTATTAGGTTGTTCTTCACCATGTGGGTGCTGGGAACAGAACCTGGGTCCTCCTCATGAGCAGCTAGTGTGCTCTTAACCACTGAGCCATCTCTCCAGCCTTAGCAAGAGCTCTAAAACCCATCAATAAGCAAACTTTCCAGCAGCAATTCCATCTGACTGTAAATGCATGTGCTTTCTTTTGCCTTGACTACAAGCCCAGGGTTAAGTGGACTGAGGTACCGAAGGAGAGTTTCCACAGGGAAGCCGCTCAATTTTTTTCCAACTACTAAGACAGTTGTTCTAGAAAATAATCCATCTCATCTAAGGCCCTCAAGCTACACAACTGCAGAGAAAGGAAGTGCCAAGTTCAGGGAGACAAGCAGAGACCAAATCAGGGTCACACGCTACCGGCTTCATTCTCAGTTTAATATGCTTTCCACCACGCATTCCTTTCCGCCCTCCAAGACACTGTTCTGAGAGTTCTTTGGGGGACAGAGAGTCAAACCAAACTGCTTCAGTGATCTGCCCTGACTTCTCCAGGTCAGCTCTGACCCAGAAAGCGTTTCTCCGGGGGTATTAAAGCCCCTGTTTTTCCCTGGGCTGCAGTGGAAGATATGGAAACTATTGGGAAACTGTAGTGCACTTCACACACGCCAGGCATTTTGTTCAACAGCATAATAGACCTCATTCACATTAACGAAGAGCCGAAAGACCACCCGGTTTTAGACTTCGCTGAGTAAACCTTACTCTGTACAAGTAAGTCACCAAAAAAACAAAGAGCTTCCAGGCCCCAAAGAGTTCTTTGGGGATGGAGGGTAGACCTGGCTCCTGTTTCAATCTCTCAAAACTAAACAAAATGAATGGCTGCTGGTGCAGACAGCAGAAACTAAACTACTGCTTGTGGCATAATCGTAAGCCTTCGGCAAGAGGAAACAATTTGAGGGGAGGCCCCATAACACGAACCTAAAAGACCACTTTGAGACAATCAATAAGCCAAGTCAACAGGCTTTCCAACCCATAGGCTACTCTGGCCTATGAAATTTTACTATTGTAATGTTAAACTAGTTTACTTTGCAAACAGGACAGACTCATACTAGCAGGGCAACCTAACAGGAGCCGATAGGAAATGCTGTAGTTTCCCATTCTAAGCCTTTCTGCACAGCGCATTCCAGCTGCAGGGGGCTTGGAAATCTCTTGGAAAAGATACCCCTTTCCCTCCAAGTCAAGCCATCGCCACAGCAGACTCTGCTTTACAGGAGCGGTTTCCCCTGGCCAAAGTGGCGGGGTCAGCGGACAGTCACTTCCACCAGCCGCCGAGAGGCCTCGGGGCGCCACGCGGCAGGACCCCGACCCCTCGGCCCAGGACCGGGCTTTTCCCGGGACGCCCCGTACCTCATGCTGTAAGCGCCGGCGCCCAGTTCCTGCCCGATGCCCGAGAGGCTGGAGTCGAAGTCGTGCACCAGCCCAGACTCAATCACCTCGTCCATCTTGAGCACCCAGGCCATCTTCCGGCCTCGCCGCCGCCCCGCACAGCGCGGCCTCCGGGTCCGGGGCGAAGGGGCCCGAGCTCCGCGGGTGCGTCCTGGGGGAGGGCGCGGGTGAAGCCTCCGGCGGCGCGGCGAGTGGTCACCAGCGGCGGCCCGGGAGGCGGCCGAGACGAGAGCGGCCGAGGCCCAGCTGTCAGGGCACAGCGCGCCGGCGAGCAGCTGCAGCGGGAGCGACCGGGCAGAGGGCCGCGCTTCCCACCCG